ATTTCAAATAATGAGATACATATTGATGGTTTTAATATAATTCGTAAAGATCGAAATAGGTTTGGTGGTGGTGTGGTTCTATATGTTCGCCAAAACATATCATTCTCAGATAGAATAGATCTAATCCCTGATGAACTTGAGATGGTCTGCATTGAATTAAGTTTACCCTACAATAAATCACTGCTAATAAGCACATGGTATAGACCACCAAATTCTCTTATGAATAAATTCGATTACTGGGCAAGCTTTTTAGCAAAATGTGATAATGAAGATAAGGAGCTAATCCTCATAGGAGATCTAAATTGTGATGTCAGTAAAACTATACCTGACCCTCACACATGTAAGTTGCAATTTTTATGTTCTCTGTATCAGATAGACCAACTTATTAAAGAATCTACAAGGCTAACTCCTAAATCAGCTACACTAATTGATTTAATATTAACAACTAGACCAGAAAATATTTCCAGATCAGGTGTCATTCACCTGGGAATTTCAGATCACAGCCTTGTCTACGCTGTGAGAAAATTTACACTACCGAATGGAAGGCAAAAAATTCGTCAGGTTCGTAACTTTAAAACCTTTGTCGAAAATGATTTCATTCGGGATGTGTCTCAATTGCCTTGGGAGATGGTCTATCAGTTTGGAGATCCCAATTTATGTTGGCAAGTCTGGAAATCACTATTATTAGATGCACTTAATAGACATGCCCCTCTGCGCCACAAGCGAATAAGGAATAACCCTGTCCCATGGATTAATCCTCAAATTAAAGAACTTATGAGAAAAAGTGACTATCACAAAAAAAAGGCCATAAAATATGATTCGGAGTCACAGTGGGAATTGTATAAAACACTACGTAATGAAGTAAATATAAACATGCGGAAAGCAAAATCTAAGTACTTTTGTGATAAAATCCAGGCAAGCTCTCAAATGGGAGACAGTAAAAGTGGATGGGCTTGGATAAATTCGCTCTTAGGAAGAAAGCATAAGAATGCAAATATTAATGAAATGAAAGTAAATGATGATATTATTTCTGATGATAAATCTATTACTGAAACATTAAATGAATATTTTATAAATATTGGAATGAAGATGGCTGCTGAATCAGCATGTCAAAGCACTGATGCTTTAAATGATCAAGCAATTTATGAAAGTACTGTGCTTCTTCCTAAAGAAAATTTTCACTTCGCAGATATTACTATAGATAGTGTTTCCAAACGCCTACAAAAACTAAATGTCCCAAAAGCGACAGGTATGGATGGAATACCTGCGAAAATTATAGACCAATTTCAATTCTTCCCATAATAAGTAAAATATTTGAAGGGGAAGTTTTTACCCAAATATATAGCTTTTTGAATAAACATGCGCTTCTGTCTAAATTTCAATCCGGGTTTAGACCAAAACATGGAACCTTAGGTGCTCTTATACAAATGTGTGATCAATGGCTACAAGACATGGATGAAGGCAAAATAAATGGAGTTGTTTTTCCTGATATATGTAAAGCATTTGACTCGGTGAATCACGAGATATTATTGGAGAAGCTTAAAACCCAGTTTGGAATTCACGACATTGAATTAAAATGGTTCCAATCATACTTAAGGAATAGAAAGCAAGTGTGTTCTGTTAATGATCAAACTTCTTCTGCAAGAACAATAATATGCGGAATTCCGCAAGGATCCATACTTGGTCCATTATTGTTTTTGCTATATATTAATGATATGCCTGATATTCTAGAAAGGATAACCCCATGTCTTTATGCCGACGACACTCAGATATCTTCCTCTTCGCATGATTACGATACATTGATTGACAATTTGAATATGGACCTTTCCAGTATTCATAAATGGCTTGCTAAAAACAAACTAAAATATCATAGGAAAAAACAAAAGTCATGTTTATTGGATCTACGCATAATCTAAATCATAAAATAGGAAATAGAGCCGTTGAGATTAACAAAATCCCAGTCCCACAAACCAATACATTTAAATGTCTAGGGGTAAATCTAGATGAAAAATTAAGTTGGGAGAAACATATTGATTCTGTATGCCATAAGATTAGCGCTGGAATAGGAGCAATTAAAAGAATAAAACCTTATGTTCCACACAAAACCTTACATGATGTCTACAAAACATTAATTCAGCCTCATTTTGATTACTTTTCTCCCCTGTGGGATAACTGTGGTTTGGGACTTCAAGACAAATTGCAAAAATTCCAAAATCGAGCAGCAAGGGTGATTACCGGAGCTGACTACGATGTAAGATCGTCTGAAGTCCTAAACAAATTAGGCTGGGAAACCCTGGCTAGGAGACGAGAACAAAACAAGCTAGTATTGATGTATAAAGTCTTGGGGAACCACACGGCGCCAAACCTTAAAGATCTTTTTTCTCGGAGAAATGCATCGCAGAATATTTATGATTTACGCAATAGCGAAACTGATCTCTCGTTAAAAAAACCGAAAACGGAATTTCTAAAGAAAAAATTTGGATACAGTGGAGCAATTCTATGGAATAGTCTGCCGCAAGATGTCAAGGCGGCTGAGTCAATTACGTCATTTAAAACAATGGCGAAATTGCATTTAAGCAGATGATAAGCTAATTTCTCCAGGACCAAATGATGGGAGGACAATATAGATTGTGCGCGGGAGGGGGGTTAGTTTTGCGTGAGGGTGGGTGGGTACTTGTTTAGGGGGTGGAGGTTTGGGAGGAAGATGATAATATTTTAGGGTGGGATTCTTACATATTTTGTTCTATATATAATTAACATTTAGCTCTTTGTGTGTATACGCCCTTCGTGGAAACCAGTTGTAAATAATTGTCGAAGTTAGCGTATTGAAATAAAGTTTTACATTACATATTATCTTTTGAGATAATAGAGATTATTTCATTGAATTTTTCTAAGAAAGCCGCTACGTTTTGATTGGGTGGTCGCTAAACTGTGCCTACAATAATGTTTTTCATTTGGTATGCAAATCTCCACAAAAATAGATTCAATCAAATCCGGATTTGCGTAATTGCATTTTGAACATAATTTGTAGTCAAGGCTGTTTTGTAGATAAAGCCCTACTCCACCAGAGGGTTTTGTAGTACGATGATTGGAGACGAATTTATAGCCAGAAATATCAACTAAATCATATGTTTGATCATTTAGCCACGTTTCAGTTATTCCAAATTTATGTTTAAATTAATGAATTTTCAAAGCGGTACCCAGCAGCCTTTCGCGCTCGTATTCGACTATTCCGCTTTGCTCGTGGACAACCTTAATTGAAATAGCTGTATATGAACAATGCTTTTCATTCAGTGCTTGCGGCGCGCGACAAACGACAGAGGAATGGGGCGAGCTTAATATAAATTGGCATTTGGAAGCATTTGGTGCATTCTACATGCAGTTTTGGGCTGCCTATGACTGCATGGTGCAAATTGTTTTCTGTTCAATTCAGATGATGAACAAAGTTTACTATTTCTATAGTAATCACTTGCGTGATTGGCAGTGTTGTATACAGTACTGCTCAGAAATAACCTAACCGAAAATGCGTGCGGAACGCGTCCGGAACGCGTTCCTAAATGCGTTCCATTTGCGTCCCATTCGCGTTCCATTCGCGTTCCAATTGCGTTCCATTTGCGTTCCACTTTTACCGGAGCGCATCTGCGGAACGCGTTCCGGTTACACTCGTATCGAAACCGGGCATCGTCGGAAATCATCGTGATTTCCCGAGTATAAGTCAGCCTCACTTGCACATTTTGTGTTCACACTATAAAGCATGAAACCGCGTTTTTATATTTGCTTTCCACTAACGAGTCGCGAATCAAAATAACCTATGATGTACACATCACATACATGTATGTGCGTGGTCAATACTCCGGGACAAACTAAAACACAATCTAGCTAATTTCCTCTATTCGCCATCAGGTTTTTGATGACCATGTAGAAAATGCTCGCACTTTTCACAAAACTCTAAAGGGCACCAAAATAAATAAAAACAGTTTTGAAGGAATTTTAATGACTTTAACAGTATTGTCTAAAATTATGGAAATTATTGTCAAAAGTTATTCACTCACGCGTGTGTTGAATAGGCTATTGAATTTCATTTCCGAAAGAGGTAGCCAAAATATCACAGTGTTTGGACTTTATAAAATCATCATCAGACTCTCACAGGAGGACTTTTAAATGGATAAGCTAATACCGGAAAAAGCACAAGGTAAGGAGGTCGTCCAGTTTATTATAGCCATCCTGTAGACTAGAAATACAGATAATTTCAATCTTAACTCATGCAACAATAGTACGCAAGCGATGTTTATTGCTGATATGCGTGTATTCGCGTGCGACAGTAAGGAAACATCATCATATAAGTTGGTACGATTGTTAGTAAATGTATATTGCAAGCATGCAATTATTATAGAATCGACCCGATCGAGATGTTGGGCAGTCAAAAATGTCACAGTCACTAGTTTTTGACTAATTGTAAATGTTTATACTTTATAATCATGTGTAATGACTTAGTTATGCGTAAAAAAATTACACAAGCGGCGACAATTTAAAATAAACTGTAGCAAGTATGCTACATGATACGCTTGCTTCAGCACGTTTGATAGCGATCTATTTGATTGCCCGTGAGCAGTTTGAGCCGGCTGAGTTTTAGTCGGAACTATTTTCATCCCATGTTGTTAAATTGCTGAAATGTAGCATGTGCACAACACAGACCTTTCTAGCTCGGGTTGAAAGACACGATCGCGATTTGAAGCATTTTCGGCTATTTGATTTGTGTGTTTATGGTTACATATACAGTTGAAACAAACACGCTGAACAAAGCCGTTAAGACGATTTTTTAAAATTATTTGTGATTACAGCCCGGACTGTGTCGAGTTTCAGTCTGGATCAAACCGGGCTGGTATTTCAGCCCGGGATGAAGCTTGATATTAATTGTTCATAGTTGTCAACTGTCAAAACCTACAGTAGCTCATGTTTCATTCGGTGTCGGGTTTTTCCGATGCGAGAACGCTGTTTTTAGCCAAAGTTGGGAACGCGTTTCCAAGTTTCCTCTGGAACGCGTTCGGACCGCGTTCCGACCGCGTTCCAACCGCGTTCTGACCTCGTTCCAACCGCGTTCCGACCGCGTTCGGAACGCGTTTGGAACACGTTTGGAACGCGTTCTGAGCAGTACTATAGGTACATCAGTACGCATCACTATATTTGTTCGTGGAGGAAATTCTTCGCAGAAATAGAAAGGTCGAGCAGTTCAGTTGTGTATCAATGTGTAGTATTAATTTACTTAACATTGCCGACAAAAACCTAAACACAAAAGCGGCTTCAAAATTGACATCTAAAGTTTATAATTTCTCCGTTTTACGGCGAATAATTCTGACAGAAATTTAAACCCAACGGGCGTTTGAATAGACATTTGTGCATTTGGTACAAGTGAAAAAGAAACTTACCAAAATCTGTGTTTCTTTTACTTTGTTCAAACAGTCGCAATGAGCACGCGGCTGACGTGAGAACATGCAGTAAATTTTTTTCATCAACTATAATATTATATTAAGTAACCGTTGTTTTGTTTTACTGCTAGTTAATTATTCGTCAATACTCGTTAATTATTCATATCTGTCACAACACTGAAGTGTTTTTCAGAATATATTAATCCATCATTTCACCTTTTTAAATTAAAAAGATATTGTATAGCTGGTGGCGCAAGAAAATATTGTAAGCTTGTTGCTGGTGGCAGCGCAAAATACCCATTCGTAGAGGAGAGAAGAATATGTTCAAAGCAAAAAATATTACGACTCACAGCTTACGGCTATCTATGCGAGTCTGGACAATGCATATGAGATGACGAGAATTCGAAATAGTGGGCATTAGGGGGCGGAGCTTAAACATAATATATTCTGCGTTCATAAAAGTCTTAGTTTCCACCAGTGGCTTATAACGCTTTTTTAAACGCTCAGAATTAATTATTGAATGGTTAAACCCCCATTCGTAAGAATTTTTAGCTTGTCGGCAAAAAATTATATATCCACTTTTACCCGCATCTGAAGTCTTGCCGACAATGTGTACGAAGCTTGTGATGTTACTCTGAGTGTATGTCCACACCGGGCAAGCTTGAAAAATATGCCTGGCGACGGCTGGAATCGAACCTACGACCTTTGGAATACTAGCCCAATGCTCTGCTAACTGAGGTACGCGGTTAGGTCGGTTCGAGTATGTGATATTTCGGAAAAGAGGTCGTAGGTTCAAAGGTCGTCGGTTCGATTCCCACTGACCGTCGAAGGTCGTAGGTTCGAAGGTCGTAGGTTCGATTTCCAAAGGTCGTAGATTCTTTTCCCACCGTGGCCAGGCATATTTTTCAAGCTTGTCCGGTGTGGATATTCACTCAAAGTAACATCACAAGCATCATATTCACCTGAGTACATTACACCAACACAGAAAAAGTCATGAATACTAGATTACATTGATATCAAAGGAACTAGATTCTGTTCCGAAATATCACATACTCGAACCGACCTGACCACGTAGCTCAGTTGGCAGAGGATTGGGCTAGTATTTCAAAGGTCGTAGGTTCGATTCCCACCGTGGCCAGGCATATTTTTCAAGCTTGGCCGGTGTGGATATACACTCAGAGTAACATCACAAGTATCATATTCACCTGAGTAGACTGAGTACATTACAACAACACAGAAAATTAAAGTAATGTTTACGAATATATATAATATTTTGTTGCCTAGAAACTATAAGGCATGGTTACAAAGCTCTTCTTCTGCAGAGGCTTCTTTAGAGCATACAAAATGGAGGCATATTTCGAAGAAGAAACACCAGCTTATTGCTGTTATTTTGGTCAAATTTTGCGTGCGGCGTCATAATTATTTCAAAGGCTAAAATACGTGAAAATTCACCTAAAATACATGGCTATACCGAACGGGGAATAAATCGT